ACTTCAGCTTTTGGGAGATATTTTGGACTCAAACCATAACACCACATTGAAGCTAGATGTAGATCGCTTTACATGATTATTTTCTAGTCATCAGTCAGCACTTTCTAACTCAAGTCTTTAATCAATGTCAGAAAATTAAATTCAATTATGCCTTTGATTTTTGCTTTTTTATGATTGTTTGGTCTCCTTCAAACAAATAATTAGTTTATGCCACATTGTAATGATTCTTTATCATACTTTGATCCTTTTTCATCTGAGCTTGTTATCTTATACTACCTTATCCTAATGTCCTTTTATCTTTTCCTGGTCTATCCTGATGACTTTCTGTTCCTGGGTTTTGTTTTCCTTCCTTCCTTCCTTCCTTCCTTCCTTCCTTTTTCTTTCTTTTTAAGTATGCTTACTGAGCAACATTAAACTCACAAAATAGAGTTCTATAATAATCTCCAATAATCTGTAATTTTTATTGTTCCAATGACTACAAAATATCAAAATGACAGTCTCTCAATATTTCTATGAGTTTTCAATGTTGTCTTTGCTCTTCTTTTGAAATCTTGTTTTTTATTTTGTTAAAACACCATGTAGAATTTTTTTTTTCCTATCCTTGGTTAAATGTTCACTAACCAACCATTTTCAGTGGTAGCCATTGAATCTTTTTCTCAGATTTGGAGGGAAATCTTCAGTGTTTGGCGAAGATTTCCTCAATATTTTTCCTCAGTATGATTCCTCTAGATTCAATAGAGACCTTCTCCTACATGTGCTGACTAGGTTTCTGAGGTTTTCAATAGGATGAGTTCGTGAAAACATGTCACCTCCAGGACATGTTTCTACCAGGCTCTTATTGCATTTGCCTCTATCTGTGCATTTGTGGGAGTTTCATTCCTGACAATTCAATACAATGCCACCAACTTCTCTCTATATTCTGCCCTGCTATTTGTGACAGATGTGGAACTATAGAAAAGGAGGGGCAAATGAACTCATAACTCAAAAATTGTATTTGTGGATAAATGTAATTTACCACTTAAAAATGAATTAAGAATAAGAATCGTATGACTATATCTCAACAGATGCAGCAAAAGCCTTTGATAAAATCCAGCACCCATGCATGTGAAAAATGCTGGAATAAACCCAACTATTATGTGTAACTGTAAGGTTCGAATTTTAAAAATTCTGGAGAAAATAGGGATAGAAGAAACTTATCTCAACATTACAAAAGCTTTATATGACAGAATCTAAGTCAACATCATCTTGAATGAAGAAAAATGGAAAGCAATTTCTTTAAAATCAGGAACAAGATAAGGATGTCCACTCTTGCCTTTTCTATTCAATATAGTTCTTGAAGCTCTAGCCAGAACAATCAGGCAACAGAGGAAAATTAAAGGGATATAAATAGGAAAAGAAGTCAAACTATCTCTGTTTGCTGATAACATAATTCTATATCTGGAAGAACCAAAAATATTTCACTAGAAAGCTTCTTGAGCTAATCAATGAATTCAGCAAAGTAAATAGCACACAAAATCAATACTGATAAATCAATAGCTTTCCTATACTCCAACAGTGATTTTGCTGACGAAGAAATCAGAAAAAAAATTCCGTTTTACAGTAACATCTACAACAACATCAAAAAATTGGGGAATTTATCTAATCAAGGAGGTGAAAAATCTCCACAATGCAAATTAGAAATTACTACAGAAAGAAATTGAAGATGATGGAAAGACCGCTCATGTTCTTAGATAAGTAGAATTAATATTATCAGAATAGATGTATTACTAAAAGCAATCTATAGATTCAATGCAATCGCCATAAAAATACCAAAATACTAATGACATTGTTCACAGAACTAAAAAAAGAAAAGTCCTTAAATTCATTTGAAAGAATAAAAGATGAAGAATAGTCAAAACAATTCTGAGCAAGAAAACTGATACTGATGCAGGAAGTATCACAATACCCAATCTCAAATTACAGTACAGAGTTACAGTAAGAAAAATAACATGGTATTGGCATCAAAGTAGACATGAAGACACATGGAACAGAATAGAAAACACAAAGACAAACCCATATACTTACAGCCATCTGGTACGTGACAAAGTTGCCAAAAATACATGTTGGAGAAAAGATAGCCTTTTTAACAAATGATTCTGGAAAAACTGGATATTAATATGTAGAAGAATGAAACTAGCTTTCTATTTCTCACTCTGCACAGAAGTCAAATCAATATGGATCAAAGACTTAAGAATTAGGACAGAAATCTTGCAACTATTAGAAAGAAACACAAAATCAACATTCCATCATTTAGGTGCAGGCACTGACTTACTCAACAAGACTCCTAAAACTCAAGAAATAAAAGCAAGAATCAGTAGCTGGGATGCCATCAAATTTAAAAAGCTTCATCTCAGCAAATAAAAATGACTAAGGGAGTCAAGAGAGAGTGTACAGAGTAGGAAAAAAGTCTTTGACAAGGAATATTAATCTACAAAGAACTCAAGAAAGTTAACATGAATAATCGGGCAAAAGAACTAACATTTGTCAAAAGAAGAAACACAAATGGCCAACAAATGTATAAAATAATGTTCAACGTATCTAGCACTCGGGGAAACAAAAATAAAAACAACACTAAGATTTCATTTTGCTCCAGTCAGAATGACAATTATCAAAAACACAAATATATTAAATGTTGAGGGGGGGGGGAAGTGTACACTCATTCATTATTGGTGGGACTGTAAATTAGTACAACTACTACTCTGGCAAGTAGTATGGAGATTCCTCAAAAAACTAAAAATGGAGTCACCGTATGACCTAGCTATCTCACTCCTTGGTATTTATCCAAAAGTACCAAAATCAACCTGCAATAACAATAATGCCATATCAATATATAATAGCCATATATATTATATCTATTAGTTTTATAATATATATATATATATATATATATATATATATATATATATATATATATAACTCCAGAGTATATATGAATTTTACTTAGCCATAATAAAGAAAGTAATTATGGGGTTTGCCAGTAAATGCATGGAACTGGAGAACATCATGCTAAGTGAAATAAACCAGACTCAGAAAATCAAGTGTCATATGTTTCCTCTCATACGTAGAAGCTAGAGCACAACAAAGAGAACAAAGTAGAGAAAGTGTGGAGCAGGGATGGAATACCACCAGAATATAGGGAAGATCAGTGGAACAGAAGGAGATTGAGAGCATAGAAGGAAGGGGGACAAGAAAGGGGAGGAAAAGTGGAATGAATTTAATAAAATTATGTTATATACAAATATGAATATGTCACAGGGAATTTCACCTTATCTATAGGTAAAAGTATCAATGAAAAATAAATAAACATGCAAAAAGAAGACCAGTAGGGTAGAGGAAGGAGAAAGGAGGAGAGAGGAGAGCATGGAAAGGGGGGAGGAAGGGGAATAAGATAAAATTCCAAGCATGTATGATTTTGTCAAAATGAATACAAGCACTACTTATAACTATAATGCTTTAAAAAGAATAATTAATGAATAAAGGATGGTATTTATGGATTATAGAGGTAAATTTGTGTTCACTTTGATATATATATAAATCAGAAAATATAGACACACATGGTTTTTCCTGTTATCTTTCAGGCCAATGGAGTTGCTTTGTTTTATAATGTAAAGTACATGGTAATCACAAGTTATTTGTATTAATTCTTACTGTACACTCTATAAATAGTAAAAACACTTACTAGATTCTGGCAATAGGTTACCAATCAACTACAATCCATTTTTAAGGTTGTTTAAACTCTTTATCTTTTTAAAAAATATAAGTATAGACATTAATGTTGGAGGAGAATAAAGTTCAATCTTTAAGACCACTATATTTTAAACTGGAATCTCCAAAATTCTTCTGATTAAAAGTCTCACTTTAGCACGATATGCAGGAACATGGACTAACTAAATTACCACTTGGGTTACACACAATCTATATAATTTTGGTAGCAAAAGACATATCACTAGATACTTCACACCAGAGTCCTCTTGATTGCTTCCCCCAGCCACATTCCAACGTTTTACTGCTGCCTGCTTTCTAAACTGCACACATTTTAGCAAAGAACAAACAATCTACCCCTTTCTTTCTAACCTTGCTAGCCCCAAACCAAAGGGATGATAGCTACATAAAAGGCATGATTGGAAATGGAGATATGTGAATCCAGGTCAAGATTACCCACTTGTTAGGGCACTTGTATGAATTCTTAATGTCATTGAGTTTAAGTCTTCTCATCAATAAAATAAGATTGTACGACATAATGTACATAATCAATTTGGCACATAGTAGCCCCCCAATTAAAAGTAGTTTTTGTTTCAAGTAAGTTTCTGCAGCCATTTTTTAGTTTTTAAAAGAAAAAAAAATTTCCTTCACAACTAAAGAAGAGAAAAGTCTCTCTCTGCCTTTTCTGTTAGAAACAAAAGGATAAATATTCAATGAAAAGACAGGAAATAAGATCAAGATTGCTATTAATTAGTATATTATATTTGTTGTTAGTATTTTCTTTCTTGGTGATAGCTTAACACGTGTATTTGACTTATTGGTGGAGATTTTGTTTAAGCAATTAAACTGGGGAAAGAATATACCTACAGATAGATTTATCTATAGGGTAAATATTAATTCAAATTTAACTTTTCTTTTAAAAAGTCAGGTTATTTTTTTTCCTTACACTAACAGAAGATTTTTTTAAATACAATAATTACAACAGTATGCCACATCTTTGTAATTCATCATAAGTTTTTGAAAGGAAGCATTCATTTGATCTTTTTTTATATCAATCATTGAATAACCTACTTTGGGTTCATTAGAACTAAAATTTTTATTTCCTTTAGTAGATCAATAATATTTTATCTCTAAATTAAAGTTATTTCATAATATTTCAATACTGATCTCTAAATAGAAGACATTTTGTTACAGTTTTTAATCATTTAAGTTTCTTTGCTTACCATTTTATCAGTGAGCAACAGTGGGGTCTTACTCACCGGTAGACATATAGATGTGTGATCCTGTTTGTTGTGGCAGTAATTGCTCTTTTATGATCTTTTTCCGACACAAGATTCTTCTTATCTTGGTGTGGAAAACAAGGTAGGAATACAGTAACGGGCTTCTGGAAAGGATGTGTTGATGGGTGCTGAACATGAATCAGAGGACTTGTGGACAGTACTGAGTAGGAAGCTTCTTGCTGTGCTTTTAAATATGCAATCAGAGATGGGTCCACTGGTTGGATCTAAACAAAGGAAAAACACTGTTTACATTTCTATATTTTAAAAGCAAAATATATAAAACATTAGCAAATATTGCAGAATATAATTCCTAAGCCATTTTCTTAAAATTTGACAGGACATATCTTCATGCATTACTGTGTCCACTGTGGACTGGTAACAACACTGTTTATATTACAGAACAGCCTCTGGATCCCTGTTTACAAAGTCTTTCTGAAATCTGGCTTCCCTGTCCTGTGTTATAAATAACTAAGGAGCACTCTAAATTGTAGGCAACAAAATGACCTAGAAAACAAAAGAGACATTTTATATAATTTCTAATTATAACTATTGTTAAATCAAGTGATCTTTAGAAACTAGAAAAACAAGACTATATTTACTTAAGTGTTTCCTTCTCATATAAAAATGGTTAATAATAAAAATAGATAACATAATGCCAAAATTTCAAAATTTATGGAGAATATGAATAAAATATTCATATTATGTTTTTTCTCCAATCTTTCTGCTTCACTTAGCACTTAGGATGATAATTGGGAGAAATATGGGCATGAGTTGAGCCTGGAAAAATAGGGAATCTTATTTGAAGAAATAAATATTCAAAAAGTGACAGTGATATATCATTATACTCTTTGAAAATGGATTTTGCATATGTTAAATCCTGATTCAAAAAAGGCTAATGTTTCATAATTAAGTAAAATCAAACAGTCATAATAATAAATATTTTAATTGATTAGCTATTTTTGTCATACTCTCAGATGCAAATCTTGAGTTATGTAAATGTCCACAAATCTGTCATCAATTGTTTCATATATACTCAACATTGTGTTTGATGATAAATATAATAAACAAGACAGTGCAAAATACCAGCTGGGAAGGCCTTTCAAACAAAGCATGGATTTGTTTGGGAGTGAAACTCTACATGCTCAAAATCATCATCTTCACTGATATCGCTGCATGCTAATCCATAACAAGTACAAAAGAAAAACCCGTTTACTGTTACACGAAATATTTGCATCTTGTTCATCTTTAGGGCCAGCAGAGCCAGGAGAAGGAGCTAATTGATTTCTCATATTTACCTTTAATTGTACCAGCACCGATGAGCTGAAAACTCCTGGGGGGTAACTCAAGGATATTCGGGAATCCACACTTGACTTCACAGTGAGGCCTTTTTTTGTTACTGTAAAGGACTCTCTCTTTAAACAAGACACAACTGAAAATATACCCAACTTGTAAGCTCTCACGGCCGCGCAGGTTCCCTGTGTGGATTACAGATATTAAAACAAGCTACATCTCTGTCTGGGGACGTACATGCTGTCCACACTCTGTGAACTCTCAGAAAAACCCATATGTTGTCAATATGATTACCAGGATTTGGAATGATCCAATTAACTGAAAATGGGTTCTTCTGTGAGATAAAGTAGAAACAGCTAACTAAAAGCTTCTCAAATTCAGATTGCATGACACACAAAAAAGAAAAGTCCATGTATTTTTAAAATTAGATCCTCCCAAATGTACACGTATGATAGGCGATCATATTCAGTGTTCTCGAAAATATTAATTGCTTCTGGAATTCTAGACTCCTTTAGCTAGAATGGATTTTAAATACTAGTCTTTTTTTATTCAGAACATTCAGCCCTGTCTTAGGGAATTCTGAGGAGTAGAATTTCATTATTTGGGTAGTTTATTCAAATGCTGGAGCACCTGTACTGTTAGCAAATTCATCCTTCTGACAGCTCAGAATCTTTTAGGATGCCAAAATTAAGTCATTTTCTCTATTTCTCTTCATGTAGTGGGAGCAGATGACTGCAGAAAGATACATTTGCGTTTCTTTTTTATGTAGTGACATTCAAATGTGTAATCATATATGCAGGCACATATTCAAGCTTTTTATATCACACAAAAGAGAACTGAGTACATAAATGAAAACGAAATGACCTCCTCATGTAATCACCAAAGCTTAAAATGAGGAGGCAGACTTAGATGTAATTCGGTGTATTCATGCTTCCCCAAACACCAGCTGGACTCCGCCCTAGCATGAGTGGATAATCATGCACACACACACACAAACATTTCAAGGACAATCACAATGGAAAATAATCTATCATTTGAAAGCTGACTAAGGAGGAGATTTCACAATATCACTGCATGAATTCATTGTTGGGAAAATTCAAGGCATGAATGTTCTCAACTGGCCAGAGGGAAAATAGTGAGAAACAGGCAAGAAAAGTCTCCTGGAAACCAGGAGAACACATTTGGCAGACACTGGACAACAAAAAGGGTTTTTAGGAATTAGAATTTTTAAATGTCATAGGACCCACAGAAAAAACTGGAAAGAATCCAGGATTTAAGTTTTCTTGAGCTAAAACTAGGGATAACTACCATCAGAATACTGTAAGAGGAAAAGTATACGGTTTTATTTTTCATGGTAGACAATGATTCTCTTTTTCTTTTGCTTTGATCATCCATTTACTGAGCAAATTTCAAACTCATTTTGTGGAAAGCCCACATGCTGGGAGCAGATTTTACTTTACTGTGGCAGTCACGCAAACTGGCCAGACTAAAAAGTCTAATAAAGGGCAGTGTGGATCAGACTTTCATACTTAATGACTTGCTCGACTAAATATAAAATGAATTAGTTGAATGAGTTGGAAAGGGTGATTAAAATAGGCTTTGTTTGCTTATTCAATTGCATAATCTTGTTTGTAGTTTGGAAAAACCAAAACCAGAAAATGTAGAGATGTGTTATAAAGATTTTTGACATGTATTCCCCACGCTCTGTCTTTTCCACTTACATAAAGATGGAAAAGACAAATATTTTAATAGGTTAAAAAGAACCTCAAATATTAGTCCCCATCAATTCTACAGTACTAAATTTAATAATTGTGTATATTCTTTCTTTGCAACGTATGAATTTGTGATCATAGAGAGTTTCAGATTTATTACAGTAGAATCAATAATGAAAAGTGACAATTTATTAACAACTAGCATGTATTTGTAGGTTTCCTCTTAGGCTCATAAATGTGTTGTCTACTTAATACTTACAATCTTATCAGGTGGACACTATTATCATGTTCATTTTTCAGATGAAGAAACTAAGTCATAGAAAGAGTTTTCAATTTACACAAGTTCATGCTGCCAGAAAGTATAGAAACCTGATTTCAAACCCCACCAATCTTCCCCCACTTCCCCAATACTGACCACCATGCACACTATCTTCTATGTGCAGGCTGAATTCCATTTATAGACTTAATTACTAGGTCAAGGGAGGCACACACAAGCCTGCACACACAATTTTTTCTTTTTTGCATAGTTTAAAACTCATGAATGATAAAAATAAAGTCATTAACACATGGGGATTTTAACACTCTTAAATTTAGACAGGGTCCAACACATTAGATATGCTATTCTAAAGCTAGGCTAAAGCATGAAGTTAATTAAACTATGATGTCACTTTTGTTTCTCAGGTGAAAAAATAACATTTGCTGAGTCCTAGATCCAAGTTCTCAATTCCTGACATTGGCAAGTCATTTCTGCTCTCTGATCTTTATAGATGGCAAAAAAGTATAAATGTATTGACACAAACCTATCCACCCTTTGTTATCAATGGAGCCATTATATCTACAATACAATCTATTAGTCTGCCCTACAGCAAATGCAAATGTAGCCAAGGATTTACTGACCTTGTAACTTCCTCTCATTCCTTCTAGTGAATTTGGGGTTAGGTAACTTGATTGAAGGTTTATGTCAGACACTTTCACCATGATATCTCTGTAATTTCCCCTGTAACGTGCAGTAAATGGAATTGCAATGCATATTGGAAATGGAATTTTCTCTTCCTTATCTGAGCATTCAATGGAGATGACATTGCTAACCAGCTCTTCATTATCACTCACTATTAAGCAACTCATGCTGTTAACTATCCGGCACTCCAGCTGCTGTAGGACACGTGATGGTGCTGTAATGTAGCAAGACACTTGGGGGTCAGACTCCTCTATCAGCATATGATACCTGCAGAAACAACAGAATGTCATTTTTCCAATTATTATTATTTTTAAATGTACTTTGTAGCTTTCTGCAGAGGGCACAAACTCTAGAGCATATTGCCTTGGTACGAACCTCAGTTCTCCTTATAAAACCTGTGACCTTAGGAGAGGTACTCTACCTGTCTATGCCAGTTTCCTTAACTATAAAATAGTATTAAATGATATCTACCTTATAGGAAAACTGTGGGTTAAGTGACCTATTATATATTAAGTAATTTGAAAGAAGGCATTATACTATATGTTAGCCTTAATTATTGTCTACTAATGTGACTACTATTGTTATTTATGTGATTGATTTATTTCTTAGTATCGTTTACTTCATAATAAGAACTTGAAGATTGCTGATGCTTCTTGATAGACCAAGAACTAATTACTAAATGGTTTCCCACATTACAAGGTAAGGGAGTACTTGTGTACAAGGTATTATAATTGTATAAACACACTAGATCAAAGAGTGATGTAAACTCTATTTTTTTTAGAAAGATTGAAAATGGTTCAGAGATTGAATTCAGTAGTAATTAGGAACAGATTGTTTACAATCCTCAAATAATCATTCCAAAAGCTTAATTTGACAATATTTTTCTCATTTTAACTATTATAATTACCAAAGACTTTTAGAGCCTTATAGATTTAAACTCAAATTTGAGATCAGTCACTTTCTATTTGTATGACCATAGACATCAATAATTATTATTAAAATAGCTAAAACTTAATGTTTTCTGTGGACCAGGTTTTAAGTCTACATAATATCATTAATCTTCACAACTATTGTGTCAGATGGGGACTATTATCATCACCATTTTACAGACAAGGAATCAGGGTTAGAAAATCTAACCACAGGGCTGGGGATGTAGCTCAGCGGTAGAGTGCTTGCCTCGTGTATGTGAGGCTCTGGGTTCCATCCTTACCACCACAAAATAGAGATGGAGGCCGAAAAGAAAGAAAGAAAGGAAAGAAGGAAGGAAGAAAAGAAGGAAAGAGGGAGAAGAAAGGAAGAAAAGAAAGAAAATTTAGCTTGCTACAAATCTCACAGGTTGTAAATTTTAGAACCGATAATTGGCTCCATCCATCTTTAACACAATAACTCAAACTCAACTCTTACACTTCCTCAAATGATTCCAAAGTACTGTTTGCTTCATCCATAATAATGTGTTGTGAAGACTGAATGAGACAAAACATCTAAACTTCTTATAGTAATGAATTAGCATAAGCTGAGTATTCAGTAACTATTAGATCTCTATTAAAATTACCAACTTGAGTTTCTCCTCTTCTTCTATTTGTCATTTTGTACTAGGGAAATGATTGAAACATAGCAGAGGTAGAGAGAAATAAAAGGATCTATATATAGCACAGCAATATTTTACAGTTACAAAATAATCTTATCTGGGTTTGGTATATAGAATTTTATTAGTATATATTACATATTGGTATGTATCAGTACCAATATATATATACTGATATTATTGGTATATAGAATTTTAAAGGGCACTTAAATGCAGAAATCTAAAAAAGATGCTCATATTACAGAGAGGGTCATTTATTTATATTTATAATTCTGAACTCATAAAGTGAGAAGGAACAAAAGATTACACAGAGCATTGGTCTGCTAGAGTATTCTCTAGTGATAGTGATGAAGTTAATTCATAAAATGAACATCGTTCAGTTGAGGGTACAGTGACTTCAGGAATAATCCATCTCCGTGTCTGGACACTCTCTCAATGCACTCTTCTTCCAGAGCTATGGTTCCCAATCAACAGATGAAGTAGGATGAGGAGAACTACAAAGGCTTCCCATTCTCCTCAACCCTAATAAAATATTATCTAGTCTCTAGTCACTAAAATAATCATGTTGGTTTATTCTAGTCTTGTTTCTCCTTTGTGTACACACCAGGACAGCTACTCTGAAGAAGATAGGGTTCTTCTGGAAAGGTAACCATACAGGAACTACAGCAGATTCTGAGAAAGGTTTTGTTTATGACATGTACTTTTATGTGGTGTGATGGCTTCCTAGCCTGGGAGACTGGAATGAATAGTCATCTTCTTAAACATGCAAGCCAAGCACAATTGATTTGGATGCCATAAAGAGGAAATCACTAACTGGGGAACACCTAAAGGAGGTGTTAGAGGGAGTGGTTCAGGCCTATGACTCACTAACTGATGTTTTGAGTCATTTCTGAATGTGAGGATATAAAGTGTTGATGTTTTTCTCAACTGAGATGGGTAACCACATGCTAAAAACTGTAGCAGTTGGTTTGCAGGGACAGTAATTCTTACAAACCACAGCAGTCTTTCATATATTGAACGAGTCATCTATACACTTCATTAGAGTCTGACTGTGGGGACATCACAGCAAAACTAACCGAACCTCTTCATTTCATAGATAACTAGGGTCAATGTGAGCATATTGACTTGCCAAAGATCCCCGACTCTGTTAGTGATGTCATCCTGGAAATGGTACTGCAAATTTATCTGAAAGAGAATAAATACATCATAGCAGTGATGTGGAGGGGATAGGTGAAGAGAGGTAATGAGGAGGAGGCAGGGAAAGTGAGGGCAGCTGAGGGTGAAATGAAATAGCACACTAACATTTAGCTGGGCACCAACACCTACAGAGTGGCATGGTGGTAGGCCCTTTCCATGATTTTCTCCTCTGACCTTATCAAATATACCCAGGACATATATATTATTTCTACAAACAAGAAAAATGAGGTCAACAATGGAGCAAATTGCTCAGGGTCACAGAAATAGTGTGTAATAAAACAGAAAATAAAAATCAAGTCTATCTAATTCCCAAAACAAGTGGTCCCCCCCTGTCCCTATTGCTTCTAGGGGTATTGTTTATCTGGGAAATTATGGTTTGTGGATATTTTGTTCTACCTAGACAAAGGATACTTGCAATTTTGGAAGGAATATAATTCATAAAAATACATCAGATTCATAAATCTTTTTCCCTTTATTTAAATCATGGACATTTAGAGAGTCTCATGAGAACTGTGAAATTTTTCCAAGGAGATAAAATTGGCATGAACATACAGAATCAAATTTAAAAACCAGGTTAAAAAATTATGGTGATTTTCTTGAAATCACAAAAAAATAAATAAGAGGCTAGAAAATGTTCTTTTAATTTTTTTTAACATTCTGCAATCTTCTACTTTTTTCTTACAATTCAAAAAGTAATGATTTGAACAATTGTTTTTATTATTTTCTCATCTAGTTCATTCTTTCTTATTTTAAAGAAACATTTAATACATATGTTTTCTAAAACTGTAAGAAACAAATAATATAAGTAATGGCAGCCACACCAATTTCTGAGGGGGGAATTTAACCTGAATTACTGATGTATAATATGTGTCAGAGATATGACATGGAAATGTAAAGTCGTATTCATGTATAAATAACATATATGTGGGTATGGTCCTGATGATTGTGCTCTCTCAAAATTCATATGTTGAAATCCTAACAACCAAGGTAATGGCATTAAGAGGTGGGGCCATCTGGAAGGTGCTTAGGTCCTGAAAATAGAATCCTGATGAATGGGATTAGTGCCCTCATAAAACAGGCCCCCAAAAACACTTCCACCCCTTCCGCCATGTGCACACACAGCAAGAAGGTGCCATCTATGAACAAGAAATTCTTCACTACACACTGATATGCCAACACCTTCTCTCTCTTCTCTGCTTCCAGAACTATGTTGTTTAAAAGGTCCCACTTGGTGCTATTTTGTTATAGCAACCCAAATGGTCGAAGACATTTCCTAACTACAAAAACACATAAACAGGTAGATATTGAAAGGCACATCTCTCATTGTGTTTACTTACTCCTTTTCCATTATGCTACTCTTTTGCTTTAGACTGTCTGAGTCAATGGGAAGATTATTCACAAGTTTACTGGAGATATCCCGTGTTGTTGAGGATGTGGTAATCTCTTCTCTTTGGTTTTCTGAGGTCCCTTGAATTTCTCTTTTTGTTATCTGGATTATGTCATGAATCTCCTCCTTGTTGCCATTTATGTTCTCAGCAGTCACGTGTCCTATTTGTTTATCATCTTCATTTTCTACATTATCTGGGAACATGGTGTTCTGTGACGTTTCTTGCTCTGTAACATTTCCATTCAATGACACATTGTTTTCTCTTTCCACTAATTCAGAATTTATGTGTGTTTTATTTTCTTTTAACTGAACCTGATTTGTGTAATGGCTTTCCTCCTCATTTGTGGGAGAAACAGTAGCTGTTTCTATGACATTTAGTTCCTCTCTTGCAGCAATGTCTGTTGCTTTGGTGTCATGAATGGTGGTCATTGTCCGATGTGGAGTATGTTCATCATGCATCCTGCATAAATTACACATCTCCTTTTCTTCTTTCTTTAGAAGCAGAGCAGTATTCCCCAAATGCTCCTTCATTTTCATGAGGCATTCTATGAAAGCAATAATTTCTACACACACACACACACAAAAGAATAAGTACGAAACTAAACCAAATCATGCTTCTCCAATGAGATAAGGCAAGAAAATCTTAGAAACCTACCAAGACCCTTAATGGGTACTTAAGCCAATCTCCTGAAGAAAGGCTGATTTGCACAACTGACACTTTAAACACTTCTAGGAACTAGAAACAAGCTACTTTTAAACATGATAGAAAAAGTACATTTGATCTTTCTTGCTCAAGAAAATGCTTTGAATTGTGAAAACAAATACCATGACCTCCTTCTCTGGGGTAAGAACTGAAGTTGGCTACTCCCTCAATCATTCCTCTTTTGGTGTGATTTTGAGATTTGTTCCTTTGCCTCTGAAGTTACTACAGTTAAACAATTACCCATTCAAAATGATGAGCCTAAAATTAGCTAAACACTCCAAATGAGGCTTGGAGAGCAGAAATGCTGTAGCTGTGTTTTTTTCTGCTGATATATTGGGGAAGAGCTGTTTTCTCCCATGAGAATAGGATTAGGTTTATACCATTTCTCCTACTGGATTTGTGGTCATTAGAAATTTTCAAATTGGTCGTTCAAAGAGCAGTTCTTATTATGCCTACAGGAACCTATGGTGTCTGTTCAAAGGCTGCTCAATGAAGTCCAGCCTCTTTACATCAGTGTAAACCCTCGTTAGGACCTGATTTGATGCCATCCGTCACTCCATTCCCATTTCATAACAGTCTCTGATCTGCACATCCTTCTTCTTGCAAATGACAAAGGTCACCTGATGACTTCTAGTGGGCTTAGCATCTCACCGGTTTTTAGGATTCGATTCTGAACTAAAGAATTTGTGATTTAAGTGTCCATAGCTCAATGTTTTCAGAATCATCACCAAATTATCCCTTCACTAGTCTGGGCTTATCTTTGGGCTCCAGTTCTGACAACCTATTCTTCGTCTTTTACCTGAGACCCTGTCTTTATTTTGGACTCCCTGTTTTCTGGTAGCTGAAGACTTGTCTTGACATTACCTAAGATCATGTTTGATGTTCTCTAGAGACAGTGGAAACCTCATCATGAGCTCCAGCTGACAGCTCCTGGACCCTGCTGCCTTTGGCAGATTTCTTTGATGTTCACTATTTGTCCTTTAGACTGAATTTCTTAGTAATATTCACCCTGCTTTCCTGATGGATTGAGACTGCCCCTGTAGCTTGACACTATTATTTACAGCTGGACTTCAGGATGCCACCTCTACTCTTGGGTAGAGTAACTGCTATTGTCTAAGATTGTATTCATCAGATACCACATTTTTCATGCCTCACTGTATGTTTCAGCATCTATAACTGGGCCCGTTCCCAAGAACTTGCCCCATAGGTGTGGGGGGATCCAGTTTCCTATCCCACATCACCCCGGTCCTCCAAGTGCTTTTGTAATTAGTGATCCTGGCTCAAATGTCTCTAGAAATAGAATGTTATATTCCAATATAGAAAAATTGCTTTTCTCTGCCCCAAACTAGGCCTCTAAGCCTTATATCCAGTTAATAATATACCTCAAGATTCTCAAGGTTCTAACTACATAATTCCAATTCATTACTGAAGTTTCATTTCAAATATCATGTTTTGTTTTTTGGGTCTTTTTTTTCTGGAAAAATTCTAAATTCATCACCTAAAAATAGGATCCTGTCTGATTCCAAAGAGATAAGACTTCAGTCTTTTATCTCCAGTGGGACCAACTTGCCACTTCCTTGCATTATTGTGCATTTGTCTTACCATACTGCCCCTATTCTATTGCCAGTCCCTTATAAACAGAGACTCTACCATAGGCTTGTTAGTCTGCTTGTAGCATCTCTTAGATAGTGTCCTATCAATATTTCTTAGAGAAAGGAATAAATCAAAAAGATACTTACCTTGCCTCCAGATACATGCGTTCTCCTTGTCAAGCAGCACATACAGCTGCTGGCAGGTGGAACACAGTGTCCCTGCAGTGTGCTCCAACAGTTGGTGAAGAGCCCCACTGAGTTCCTGACCCAGAAAGACCACTGTGGCCATCCAGGTGGCCGCCCCAGGCCCCTCACAAAGGTCATTACCCAGGAGTGCCTGTTTTAGCATTTGGTTTTGTCTCCAAATCTGCTTCAATATTTGGCCTAGTTTACCTGAGCCCAAGTCTTCTGTATCCATTTTATGCTCCAAAAATAATATGCCTCTTTCCTGCCAGCAAAGCCTAAAGGTTTAGCCAATTCAAACCTGGTGATGGTTATTTCTTCTAAAATCTAGGAGAAGATCCAAGTCAGCTAGCCAAGCACTTTCCTGCAACATAATAGCTTATTCAGCTTGTTGTTGACTAGTGAAAAGTTACTAGGTGACCAAAGGAGGGGCGTTCCCAAACCCCTTGCTCTTGTGTACAGAATAGATTAATCACGGGGATACAGCTAGTTCACACAACCCAACTCTTCAGCTCGCTTTTGCAAATTCAACACACTAATGAAGCCCAAATCCTTTTCAGCTTTGACACAACAAAATATGGATTCCAGAACTGGCAATATGCATTCTTAAAAATACTTGTGAATGAAAAAAAAAAAAATATGATGTCCGGTTTGTTTCAAAACAAAGTATAGGAATGGGATCTAGATAAAATAAGATCAGCTATAAAAATTGATAGTTGTCAAAACTGGATATAGTTACACATGGGGGTCCTTACAATTTACTGATTAGTATATATGTATAGTATTTTTAGAGTAAAGAGTTCAAAGAAAAAAGATTCTTCTACTGGAGCAGATCCTACTGCTGTTGTTTAGGTAAGTATAATTAGTTCTCTTTTATATGGTAAGTTGGCAGCTAGATGGAGATAGGAACTTGGCCTTCTTACTCCTTGATAATTTCCCTCTAATTGGGAAATACCTTCTCAATAAAAGAGAGCAAACCTGAAGAGTGGCTTTCTCTGAATGAGCAAGGAGTTTTTGCCATATATAATTAAAAAATACAGCCACTGCAAACTCTCAACCCTGCTGCCCGCTCCATGAGCCCATTACACATGGGGCGACTGCAGTACAGGACTCCATGAAGGGCCCCCCGGGAGTGTACACCAGAACAGGCTGCTTCTGGCTCTCCAACCCTGCTCCCTGAAGAAGGGAGGGCACACACCAAAGGTACAGGGTGGTACATTTGAAAGAGGCTCCTGTTCCCTCAGATGTACTGGAGTGGAATGAAAGCTTTCCAAAGGGACCTGGAGTGTTTCCCTCCCACGGGCAGCACATTATCTCAACTTTAGCACTGGGGCTCTTAGAGCTACACTCATGACACCTGGAAGACTAGATGGGAAAACAAGCCCAGGGAATAAAGACAAGAAAGAAAGCCACAGGTCTGGGCCTGAGAATCTAAAGGGGGAGTTGAGGAGCAGTGTGGGGACTATTGGCTCCAGGAGAGAGTCTCTGCTGACCATCTTGTTTTGCAGTGACCCTCCGTTCCTTGTGAAAGAAACCCTTTTTTGAAATATGAGTCCATATCACATCATGGATCACATTTTAAAAATATTTTCAGGCTCTTCTCAGTATTAAAGACTTTCTGATTCCATTTTAGTTTATTTTCTCTAACTCCTGAAACATATGTGTAATTCCCAAAATAATGTACATATGGCTTTAATTTGGTGCCAATTCTGAAAACTTTCCACTGCATTTACAGAGGGCCAAGCACTATTTAAGTGCTTTGGGGACTTCAGAGAGAGAGAGACAACTGCATGAACAGATTATTAAAATACAGCTTAGATTGTTGAGAACTAGGGCAGAAGTATGAACAAAAACTTTAGGAGTAAAAAATTAATTTTGATTAGAGGCTTAGATGTTTGAATTAGGAGCTAAAGGATGAACAGGACTGGGTCACTTAAGAGAACACAGGGAAGGGACACTGCAACCCAGGAGACAATGTGATCAAGGCTCGGGTGCAGAAAACCCCAGAGCGGGCTCACAGAAGGCAAAGTGAGGCTTTAGAGGAAAGTTTTGTTCATGAATCAGGCAAAGTAGCAAGAAGAAGGGCAGAGAGTCAGGAAGGGAAGTTAGAATTTTATTTTGCACACAGAAGAGAGGAAATATTTTCAAATTAATCTACAATGTGACCAAATCTGTGCTGCAGGGATGCAGATGGCTTAAATGTCAGAGACACAAGAATGGGGAGGCTTGAGGACCTGCAGAAAGGAGAAGGAGATACCTTATGAGGGACTTTAAGTGGAGTGGATAGAATTTTCAACTGTCAGGTTGCAGGAGAGGAATAAAAAGCATTGAGAATCCCTCCATTCACTTATTTTAGAAATACTTCTAGATCACTGATAAAATAATTGTGCTTGGTAGTGGCATATAACTAAAATTTTCAGTTTAGGGAGCTTCATAGATTGTAAACCCATTCAGGGATTTAGGAGGAACATTGGGATTGGTGGATAATCTGATTAACTTTGGATTTGTAGAGATTCATATAATTCAGAACAATCCTTTAGAATGTGCTATTAGATGAAACGTCAGAATTTACATATTTTTTTTTCATTTGGTACTTACATTTATTTATTTATTTATTTATTTATTGGTTGTTCAAAACATTACATAGCTCTTGACATATCATATTTCATACTTTAGATTCAAGTGGGTTATGAACTCCCGTTTTTACCCCGTATACAGATTGCAGAATATCATCAGTAAATAGGTGATGAATGAATTCCTGGAAGTAGAAAACATCAAAGAATTTATACCATGTCTATGTTTTAGTGTTGAATGAAACTGATAAAGAAATGCCAGGTCACTGGACCAATCTACATTAATTTCCTCATAGACTTGTGAGAAAATCCTTTCTCAGGGAGGGGGAAAAAATAAAGAAGGAACAAAAACTAACAACCTTTCTTCTCAGACTCAATAATGTTTGCTGTCCTCAAGCCTCAACTTGTTCTCAGTTTAGCTTCATAAGAACAAGTAATATTTACAAAATGAGACCTACCACAAGCCACGCTGTTTTGACTTGTTAAAACAAGCATCTGCATGTTCCTGCATCTTGTTTTCAATTAGTTGATGTCACTAACCACAGGAAGAACTGACATTTTGCGAGTTAACTGCACAAGTTCATCTGGATGGTTTTAGCATTTGATTAGCATCTTCACTGTCACTACTAGTTATGATTCCTTTTACTTTCTTACTGAAAATCCTGTGCATTTACTGACTTTAAGATGTTAGCAGTCTTGAACTCATTCGAAATATTACGTGGTTGAAAGAACAATAACATTTCTTCACATCAAAAGCACCAAAATGTGCTAAAGATAAAATTTAGGTAGGCAGGATAGTCTCTCCTTTGCAATCTGAGGAAATAAGGCTCTGAAGTAGACCTGACCACCTATTAATCCTGTTGGAGATGAGAACAATAAAATTTGGGGGCCTAATAAAGTATGCTGTTTTCTATGGATTTTGTGGTAAATACTAGTGGGTAGGTCCAATGTAATAGAGTTATGAATGCTTGTGATTATGACTCCACATTATTAGTTCTATTATCTGATGTTGTCTTTTTTTCTGTAGTTGGCTGCATCAAAGATTTTGTGCAATCAGCCATTGAGTGCCCATCTTGTGTCTGTTGAAGACAGTCTCATACAACTGGAAGAAGGGTAAAAGGAGAAGGAAAAGGAAATTTTAAAAATTTTGTCTTGCTTTTGCTCTCCCCCAATAACTTAGTGCACTGGAAAAATACAAATGAAATATAAGAATTTTCAAAGTGCTTACCAATTGTTAAGTGTTTTAAAGGAACAAATGGTAAAAATCAAAGCTAACATTTCTGGTTCAAATGCATGTATTTTAACTGCTTCCTTCTAAGATACCAATGAAAAATATGTAAACAATATAGAAAACAATATATAACAATATATAAACTCCAAATAAAGAGAATGGGTGACAAAGGTATCAACAAACTCCTAGAAGATTGAAAGTATCAGACAAGTGATAAATGATTTGGTCAACAAGGACAGTTGACATCTAAGCATGTAAATGATGAGGAGGGGAGACAGTTCTTGTCAGAACCTCAGAAGATTCCAGCATTTGGACACACCTACCAACTCTGAATGTGAGAGTGAACTTGAAGCTATAAACAGAAGTTTTCCTTGTGACTGGTTTTGGGAGCAGTAGATTTCTATGTCCCTCTCCTCTGTCCCAAATAGCTAGGCAACTCTCTACCACGCATTGAAGCTCTGAGGTTTTCTCTATGAAGAAATAGCAGCAGAAAGGTCCATGGCTTAGGCTGAGTGGAGAAAGGAATGGAAGTACCATGTTAACTATAAGGATTATATCCATAATTTTATTTTTCAAAGTTTATTTATTTACCTATGTATTTATTTGTTTTACTGGTATTGAAACTTGAACCCAGGGGTACTTTACCAATAAGCCATATCTTTAGCCCTTTTATCTTTTTTTTTTTTTTTTAATTTTGAGGCAGGGTCTTGCCAAGTTGCCCAGATTGGCCTTGAACTTGGTGATCCTCTTGTTGTAGCCTCTGAGTCTAATGAGTTTCCCCTCTGCTCTTCAGCTTAGCCCTAAGTAAGAACACGGGCTGACAAGCATAACATGCTAGGCATAAAATTGAAGACTTCCTCTCTGGAGTAACCAAACACTCTAACTAACTGGTAGTGAATCATTTAGTGTCCCTCCCCCAATTCCCAACCCCTCACAGTCTGCCCTGTCCCTGCCAACCTTTCCACAATGAAGCTCCTACTCATGAGCCTCATGTATGCAGAGTTTCTAAACAATGTTCCTCATGCCTCACCTTTAAGTATGGAGTGACAGCTCAAGAGGCCAGACATTTGAATACGACTCCAGCACAAAGTTAAAGACTAAAGCTAACAAACCTGAATAAAGGACTTGGAAAAAACAAACAAAGACGACACACGGAAGAGAATAAAACACCAAACACATTTATAATTACTACTTTCAGCAGTTAAAATACATACATTTCAGAATCTAGGATAAGACCAGAAAATGTATCCATAAAACAAGAAATTTTCTTAAAAAGGAAACATCCAACCAATGAGAAATAACTCTCAGAAATTCAAATATGGTTACAGAAAAAAAAATTTTTTTTGTACTGAGGATTGATTCCAGGGGGACTTTACCACTCAGCTAAGTTCTCCGTCCTTTATTTATTTTTTATTTTGAGACAGAGTCTCACTAAGTTGCGTAGGACCTTGCTAAATTGCTGAGGCTGGCCTTGAACTTGCAATCCTCCTGCCTCTTCCTCCTGAGTTACTAGGATTATAGGTGTGCACCACCACACTCAGCTGATCCCAGAAAATTTTAAGCTAGTAAA